AATTAGGGTGATACACAATTTCTTTTTGAAAGTCATCAAGGGGATAGAAAATGAAACGAGTTTCTTGAAAATTTCATCCGCTTTTCACTATCATAGCTTTCGGACAAAGTTGGATTTGGGCCAATTAAGAAACAACAAATAATGTTCGCATTCTTGTTGAAATTGTGTACAAATCACTAACTGATTTAAACTTTTGCTCGCCACTGGCACAAGTATATAGGATGACAGATAAAGTTTAGCTACAAATCCATCGATGCTTGTACGGTGACCTGAGCCTGACCAAGCTTAATGGAAAGCTACATATAACGCAGAAGTGAAGTAAATTATGAAATTTTTCTTTAAAATATCATACCTTTAACTTCTAGTGTTCATGAAGATAAGAAAAAAAGAAAATCCCAGAGTTGCCCGTAGTTGATTGAAATTTGAGTGTGGAGTGGAAAAGACTAAATATTGTTCTAATCTGGTTCTTGTAGAAAAAGAAAAGACAGTCAACAATCTATTATAGTGTTGTTCGATATCAAATATAGAACAACTTAAAGGTACATGGAAACTGATAATTAGCAAACTGTAAAGTCCCTTCAGTTTAATTAGCATTAGGCGCATAATGAAGTTGAATAAGACTTTTTTCTAATAAAAATTGAAAGCTTTTTAAAAAGCATCAACTCCGTGCCGATCAAATAAATAAAATAAACTTCGGAGACTGAATCTCTATGAAAGAAAAAACCTGAAGTAACTGTTTCAAATGATGATGATGATCATGCAGACGATCGGGTATCTTGGACGTGCTGAAAGGGCTTTTGCAACTTGGATGGGTTGGACCGTGTGAAAGCTCATTGCAGCCGACCGATTTCACAAAGCCTGACTCAAGAAGATGCAGCTTTTCTGACTATATGTCATTGTGTCTATGGCTTATATAATTGCGTTCTTCTGCTTCGGGCATTGTATATTGTATACGAGTGCTACTCATATTTTTAGGAACATCAAATTTCAGCAGTATTTCGTTTAGAGAGAAGCAGGCAAAGGAAAGCTTGTCTCGAAAAGTGTTTAAGCTTTGTGTTTGAGCTTTGGAGGAATTATAATCGCGATCGTATACGCGATGCGGTTATAAAGTTTATAGGGATTACTTTCGAGCGGAAGAGTCTATTTTATCCGTACGTGTTACGTTTTTGCGCGGCAATTTAAAGTTAAAGTAAAGCTGAAGGATAGTTAAATTACATAAACTGTTTTGTAAATAATTAAAGGGTTGATTAAGTTTTTTGGTTTTAAAGGCGTCAGCGGCCGACAACTTAAGTCGGCAACGGCAAATTAAATTTATTTCTAAAGATTCTTCCTCACGGGAACATTTTTCATTATATTATATAAGTTAAATTTCCATTTATCAATTTTAACAGCATTCCAATCGTATACAACTTTAACCACCGACGATATATTGCTTGAGGTCGATCAGACTTCAAAAGTGAATTGTTACTATTTACTATCGTATGGCCTATCCTTCACAATAGTGGCCATTTCGTCAGCTATAAATCCTAACACATATACACAAAACGATTATTGTGTACTAATGGAGGCGAATACGTTGTTTTACGCCACCTTTATAACTCCCATTATGTTTTTCTTAATGGTAAGCGCTTTCTCATTCTTGAAACACTTTCGTGAACATAGTAGTGTACTTATTACGTGTATTTATATTTGAACTTGAAAGGGAGCTTTATGTTACACATTTCTTTCGTGGGTCATTATGTGTCGCAAATCACGGTCGGCTTTGAAGAACAAAGAACATACCCGGTTAGCGAACGTGCGGTAAGGAAACACATTCATTGAAGTCTTAATCATTGAAGTCTTAGTTTGTGAACGCTATATATTGCTTTTAGCTTCGACATACGATGTTCTTTTATATTTTTGATATTATTATGTACGGTTTGGTCAATGGCTTACTTGTATTTGCGCAATTCTAAATTGGATGATGAAGTGGCCCAAATTTATGGCTATCTATTTATAATTTCCAATACCTTAATGGGAGTCTACATATTCGTTTTCCATTGCATACAAAATGAAAAGGTAAACAGTCTCCGATTATGTTCGCCTTCCCAAATTATATAAAAGTTACTTATTACCCTAGATACGGCGAGAATACAGAAAATATGTGCGGCAGAATTCTTGGTTACCGAAATGCTTACGTTGTTCGAAGACCTCAATATCTTCGGGCATTGTTGGTGGGGGTAGCGCTTGCGGTATGACAGCAGCCGGTATTACAAGTACATTAAACAGCAATTCGAACGTTATAGGTTCCACAATATCTAGCGGCCAGGTTAAGAAGCCCAAAATCCCCTTGGAAAGCAATGATGCGAATGAAAATGAAGAAGAGATGGGTAATATCATAGCATCAACAGAAGAGGCAATAATAGCGTCGAGTGATTGTGAATTAAGTGAGGGGAAAACGAGACGGACTGGTAATGTTGTAAGCAGTAATGTTCTGGCAGTCGGTAATGGGGGCATAAATGGAAAAACTGTGATTAAGGCAAACAATTTGATACAACCGCATGTTAAAAATGATCATACACCAAATCAGGTGGCTGTAGACCGCAGTAACCATAGCATAGGTGCGGTCGGAACTTCAGGCACATTACGTTCCAACGGCGGCCTTCGTACACCGAGTGCGGGGCATACGTCGCCTACTTCTTCGGTAAGTTCAACACATTTAATATTTGGGCACAGCCACAAAGCACAACAACAGGTAGCTGCTGGAAACTTACAAAATACAGGCCCTCAGGAAGCGTTTTATCATCAGCCCGACTATTACGGTTGGCAGCAAAAGCCTGCTTCGGCAACGAAGATGCAATCTAGGGATTTCCACGGTACAAGTATCGTTAGCCAACAACCTCACGAATTCTTTTATTGGACTCAAAAACATCAACAGGGCCACAATAAGAAAAAGCGAGGCAGCAATACTGGCTCGGATTCGCCAAGTGGTTCCTTGCATTCACGCAATACTACCGCGTCCCAGCAAATACTTTTCTATCCTTCTTATAAAAAGACCACTATAAAGCAACAACAAGCTCAACAATCACCACATCAGCAGTACGCACATTACGCGGAAACTTTTGACTCGGGTCCGGCCGCTTACTATCAGCAGCAGCAGCAACAACAACAGCGAAGACTTCATCATCAGTATTTGCAACAGCAACAACAACAGCAACAAATGTCTTCGGACGATGAGCAAATGGAGCCAGCAGCTCATGCCCATTTGTTGCAACAAATGACGCGACGCGGGGTGGTAGGAAGCGAATTAAGTATGCCGTCTACAACGCTGGTAAGCGCTAACCAGCAACGCTACTATAATAGAAATAAGCATTCCAACTGTGATTTAAATCAGCCGCCACAAGATTACGAACGTCGTAGTATCGGTGGTAGCGGTAGTGGCGGAGGCGAAGCCTATTACAATCAAGGGTCCTTGGCCAGTGATAATGGCCCTGTGTACGAGGAAATTTTAAGTAATCGAAGTTCCGATGTACAACATTATAATGTCGATGATATGCTACCACATGATTATGAAGATGAAAGGACAATTCAAACAGCGTTTCAACGTCAACAAACGCAACAACAACAGCATAGGATAATGAATCGCAATGGACGAGGCGGTGCACGATCGTTACATGAATATGTTGGCGACTATGAAGGACGTAACGGCAATAGTCCCTACAGCGATGAAGATGATAATGATATGGACGACGATGACGACGATGAAGATAACGTGGAGGATGATAACGATGATGATGGAATGCAACATATGCCGCCACAAAGTGATGAGCGTATGCGGCGTTTGATGGCCATACAAGATGCCGATTTTCAAAGGAGGTTTCAGTAAGTATGACATCAACAAATTTGCAACTGGATAGCAAATATAGTTTGAGCCTTGGATTTCACTTAAATATTCATTTTTTTTTTTTTTTTTTTTCAGAAGGCATTTACGTAAGCAAAACGGTGCACATGAGAATTCCGCCGCACCACCTGCCTATCACGACTATCACGAGGCCCAGTATACATCAGCAGGTGCGTCATCGCAACCACAACAGCAGCAACATCAACAACCACAATTGACGGTTTTTGGGGTAAGTAGCGGCGCCGGAGGCTCTGTACGTAGTTTTAAAAAGACTGCATCCGTTTCCGGTAGTCGCTTGGCTGTTAATGAGCTCTTCAATCATGGTCCTCCTTTACCTCCGGCCAATCAACATCCAATGCATAAAAAATCACAACAACAACTCTCGCCTCAAGCCATTAATCCAATCAATAGTACACCGATCGGACGCAATATATCAGCCATGCTCGATGAAAATAACACGGTGAGGTGCTATTTAGAGCCATTGGATAAGTAAAGTTTATATAGTGTAACTTTAATTTATAAATGTTATCGTCATATAAGTGTGTTGCTCCTTCCCTCCCTTCCTTTCTCACTTTCTTACAAATCAGAAAAAAAAAGCAAAACAAACAAAAAAGACATTATTAAAAAATAACCTACAATTTTTTTAATATAATCAAAAGACACGAAAAATAAGAAAAAAAAAAAAAGAAGAGAGATATTAACAATGTGTGTATGATGTACTACGGAAACATTCGTATTGGGGAATGAAATAGTCTCAAACAATTCGTAAAAGTGTGTGTGTAGCAGCTTAATAGGAAAAAATGCATTGAGAGAATAAAACGTAATCTAAGTTTAGGCTACAAACACAGAAAGCTAACACTTTAATCTTTCTTAGGACATTCGTAGTTTTTCCTTTCTTTGTTTTACTTTTTTTTATTTTTATTTTTTACTGCTATAATAGTTATTAAGTAAAAAAGAAAAAAGAAGATGGATATTTTTGAGTAGTTTACATTTAGTTGAAATGTTATATTTTTGGGATACTTTGTTATAATTGCGAATTTAAATAAATTCTTATTTAAAGCTTTAATATTTTTTTAAATAATTTTTTTATGTACATATATTTAATACTCCCTTTTTCTCCTTATTTTTTGTTGTTTTTTTTTTTTAACATATCCTTAATGTGTTTATAAGCTTGCCTGTCATTTTTTTTGTAGAAATTTGAAAAATCATGTAAACTTTATGTACATTTATCTAACAACTCTTGAAATACAAAAGATTATTAAATAAATAAATATGTGTATAGTACATGAGAGGAAAAGAATTACCTTTTTTGTGGAAGACATTGTCCTTAAAATGTAAGCTATATAAAAAAAAAAGAAACTGAAATGTATACAAAAAAAAAACAAAAAGAAAAAAAATTGAAAATTATTATTATAAAAAGAGGCCATAAAATTTAACTAAAATTAAGGCATAAATAAAAATTATGATATACGAAGAAAATAAAAAGGAAATATTTCATGCTTTTGTCTTTCTACACTGAAAAACAACTAAGAACATTATACAGTGGTACACGACCCACCATTCATTTTATTATGGGCCAGTAAGGGGGAATGCGCTATATATTTTTACTTTATTTATGAAAAGTTTTTACAAAATTTACAAAAAAAAAAAATTAAACTCGTACATTTTTATTGGATACCTTGGCTCCCAAACTTTTCTCTACGCATTGCCTTTCCTCGGCACTAATAATACTTCGCTGTTTTTCTCGCACGATTTTCCTTTATTACATCGCTAGTGGACCTTTTAGAATATATAGTAAGAAGAGAAGAAATAAACTAGTAATTTATAAATGTTATCTATACAATGTTTCAATTGCCTTCGATTGTAGAAACGTTCCGATCAACTGACTCCCTGATGTTTCTGCCTGTCAGTGACATAAACAGCACGAATCCACCACTGTTGCCTGCACGCGCTTTCCTATGTCTCTTTCCATCATGTGCTGGTCCATTGCTACGTGGAACACATCATAGGCTTCATCGAAAGCATCGTCGAGCTCTGGTTTCGGGAAGGCCGCTTTAAGATATTTGGTAGTGAAGGTCATGTTATTACGGCGGTCCTTTGCAACTTTCCAACCCATCACCTCCTCGCAAAAGCCATGTTCTTCTACCGTCGTGTCACGCAAGCAATGTCGGCAATTCAGCTGCTCATAGATGTAGCGCGCTATTCCGAATGCCATGAACAACCGTAGGTATCTCTTCTCATGGTACTTAAGCTCCAGAGTGCGCAGATCTGTAAACACCTCTCCATCGAGCCCGAATCTCTCTCACTTTTCTTCGGGCCCTTCTTCAGTACCGTAATTCATCTTGTTCATGAGGAGGTAATCGTCGATTGTTCTTAGGCCTCTTTTAAAACCTGGAACACCAGCAGGCTCCTCAGACGAGTTTTACGATCTCCACAGCCGATTTGTTCTCCTTCTTTTTTGTCAAACACACGTTGAGAAAGAACGCCTCAAGTAGGCCCTGGCTTGCCCTGTAAGAGGGGACATTTGTGCGAGGATAAGTCTTCACTAAATCGTCCATAAAGCAGGTAAAATTTTTTATTGTCATCTCTGTTGCAACAGCTAGGGCTGCTTTCTCAAAAGCTCCCTTTTAAGCTCCTCCCAATTTGTGTCCGATTTGGAGATCCGATGAAACATTTACATGAGCTTTGTGATCATCGTGAAGATTTCGCAGGTGCGCTCGGGAATCTCGGCAACGTTTGTAAAAAGATCTTCATTTATTAGCGCTAGTAGCGAGGCTGGCTTCGCGTCGTTGCAGAATTGAATCAGTTCATTTACGTAGCGCGGTGTTGCGACCGAGTAGGCGCGGCTCTTTTGTAGAGTTACCTAATTATCGAAGGGTTCAATTGTTGTTTGCTGCTTTAAATTTTTGCTCGGTATCTATTCATAAGGTGTAAATAGTCGTGCATCAGTAGAATTCCAGCAGGTAATGAGTGTACAGCTTCCTTATAGGCGAGACTACTGTCGCAGACGACAGCTTGTATGTTAAAGCCAATCTCCTTGGTTTGAGATTGTCTTCTAGTAGCCTTACATCAAAATTACCACGCCTGAAGGATTGGACGCTCACCAGCATACTAAAAGCCGTCCTCAGGCTTCTTACGGCGAAGACTGGGACCATTTTGTACGCAGCCACATTCTTCTTGGTGCGCTCGTCGATGTAATTGCATCCACACAGCGCATCCTCCGCCCGCGAATACACAGCCTCATGATTGGTACACATTTCATCGAAGTGTAGTTGAACAATTCTGTTGTGAGGAGTCAATTTCCCCACGACTTCTTTTAGTGCCTCAATTTCCGGCACTACGTAGTCAGCTTCTGGTTCAACTTCCTGGTCTTCATATCTTGCTAGGCGCCGTTTTAATTCTGCATTTTGAGCTTGAAGCCGCTCAACCTCCCGGGCCAGCCTCGCCTGCGCTGATGTCGATGGTTCACTGATGTAAATGTCCCCAATAAAATTTATGGGGCTTTGTATATCTATGCTATCTACTACGCATGGCACCCTAGTCAGTTCTTTCGTTATTTCTATTGTACCCTGCGCGTCTGTCGCTTCTTCTCCCCCTGCTACTCTATCTCCCGCCTGTGTCACCTGTTTTTCTTCTACGTTGAATCGCAGAAAACCTACCTCTTTTTCGCTGTCAGTCTCAATCCGTACATTTTTGTCGTCACCTATTTTTCTCGTCATTGTATTTATCGCCCACGCCAACCCGAATTCTCGCACGTACCAAACGTAGTCTGCCATTCTTGTCTGACCGCCCCGTCTTCTATCCACCCTTCTTAAACTATACCTAATTGCATGACTTTTTTTTACAAATTCTTGCGCAGACACGCAAACTACGTCCACTGCTGCTACTCCACAAGTCGGGATGTTCTTTAAGTAATTGACTAAATACTCTGTCTGAAATTTTTACAATGGTATTATTCTTAATATCCTTCATCTATGTATGTAAATAGTATTATAATAGTAATGATAATATAAATATTATAATATAATAAACAATGAGTCACGAACCTGAAAATAAATGGAGTACAAAATAGACCAATTATGCAAAGAAATGTAAAGTTTTTATTAAATTGTTAACATGTGTGAAGCAAAAATGAAAATAAATAATTGTCAAATGAAATATAAATGAAGCAATGCCCTTTTTATTTCAATTTATTAACGTAAAAATCTTACATTTTGTACATTTGAAATTAATAACAATTCAAAATGATAAAACAAAATAAAATGTAAATTTCAAATTAATAATAACTAGAACTACACACTAAATCCGATAAGCTAAATGTTGCCAGCTCCGACTTTTGATGTTTTAGATGTTTCTTAAATTCTTTGCAAACTTTTTTTTTTCTTAATTTAAAACACTGTGAACTGTTCTGTAGAGCTCTCATCAACCCCCACAAACTACTGTTCTGCTTCAGAGGAACACTTCATCACTTTAAAGCCAACGTATAAAACCAGCTTTCTATTTTAGAAGCACCACTGTAATTAACATACGAGCTACTAGAATTTCCTTTGATCGAATATCTTTATTTGTGCGATCAGTAATTACCGCATTATTACTACTTGTATCACTACCTGTTTTAGCCGGAGCTATTACTATATTATTAACAGATCGAAATTTAAATGCATAATTCTTTACCAATATTTATTTTGATTTTTTTGTCATCCTAAAGTTTATATTTTAATTCAACCTGGTTTTGGTATAACTTTCCACATTATTAGTCAAGAGTCAGGAAAAAAGGAAGTTTTTGGTTCATTAGGGTTAATTTATGCCATACTAAGAATTGGGTTATTAGACTTTATTGTTTGAGCTCACCATATATTAGGTTGGGGAAAAAGAAATACATTATTTTTATATGAACTTCAGGACTTTATTTAACATGCTTCGGATTGTCCGATTTGGGTCAAATATGCACCGTTTTGTTGTATGATTTGTTGCTATTTTAAAGGTAACTTCAAAATGCCTCTCTCATAGAAGTCCTGGTCTCTATTTGCAAAAAACTCTAGTAGTCGATTTTCACAATCCTCCCTAGATTCCAATTTTTTATCATTAAAGAAATTTTGCAATGCAAGAAAAAGATGATAGTCGCTTGGTGCCAAGTCCGGACTGCATGGCGGATGCATTAAAACTTCCCAACCAAGCTCCCGAAGTTTCTGGCGAGTCACTGTAGATGTGTGTGGCCTAGCGTTGTCCTGGTGGAACACGACACCTCTCCTGTTGGCCAATTCCGGCCTTTTCTGGTCAATCGCTTTCTTCAAACGGTCCAGTTGTTGACAGTAGAGATCAGAATTTAGCGTTTGGCCATATGGAAGCAACTCATAATAAATAATCCCCTTCTAGTCCCACCAAATGCATAGCAAAACTTTCCTGGCCGTTTGAGGTGCTTCACCGCTCTTTGACCTCGATCGTTTTAGCACAGGGTTATCGTATGTGATCCATTTCTCATCTCCAGTCACCATCCGTTTAAGAAATGGGTCTATCTCATTCCGTTTGGCCAAGGCTTCGCAGATGGAACTTCGATCCATCATGTTTTTTTCTATTAATTGTTGTGGCACCCAAACATCGAGCTTCTTTTTGAATCCAGCTTTGTGTAAATGGTTTAAAACTGTTTTATGGTCGATTTTTAGCTCCTGGGCGATGTTACGACTGCTAACATGCCGGTCAACTTCGATCATGTCTCCTATTTTATCGACATTTTCGACGACCGGCCTACCTGTACGAGGTGCATCTTTAACATCAAAAATTCCTGAACGGAATCTACGAAACCAAAATTGCACATAATTGGCTGTTACAGTATCGAAACCATTCGACACGTAAACACCATTCACAATTTTAGCCGCCTGGCTTGCATTTTCGCCTTTGTCAAAGAAAAACTGTAAAATGTACCGAGTTTTCTCTTTGTTCACTTCCATTTTTAACACGCTGTAACTCACAACTGAATGCACCAAACAAAAAAGAGCAAAAGAATTTTTTTTACTGCGAAATGTCACCTTTCCAACGAGCATAAATCTGAAATTGTTTGATCGATACTTTACGAGAAATCTATCAGTGCAGCCATCTACCGAAAAAATAATGGATTTCTTTTTCCCCAAACTAATATTTGCTCATCTAGTTCCCCAGGGAACTCCTGTACTTCTAATACCATTTATAGTATGTATCGAAACTATTAGAAATATAATTCGCCTAGGTATATTAGCTGTCCGATTAACAGGTGTCCAATTATCAGCTAATATAATTGCAGGACACCTTTTATTAACTCTTCTAGGTAATACCGGCCCATCAAGATGAATATCCCAAATTGCGTTATTAGTATTAGAAT